CCAAAAATACAGTTATTATTTTAATCGTGATTGCAATTTGGACATCAGACCACAATCTTCACCGACCGCATCATCTGCGAGAGTAGCGTCTTTACAACATTGAAACAACAACAGAACACGAGTGTTATGAGTAAACCGAATGTCTGTGGTAGTGAGAATGCAACCCATCTCTGGATAGAGACCAGCTTCTTAGAAGCACTTGCGGTGGACAATGGATGGGCCAGACTCGTCGTACTCTTGTTTGGAGATCCACATGGTCTGGAAGGTGGACAGGGAAGCCAAGATGGAACCTCCGATCCATACGGAGTACTTCCTCTCAGGGGGAGCAATGATCTTGATCTTCATGGTGCTGGGAGCCAAGGCGGTGATTTCCTTTTGCATCCTGTCAGCAATACCGGGGTACATGGTGGTACCACCAGACATGACAGTGTTGGCGTACAGGTCCTTGCGGATATCGATGTCGCACTTCATGATGGAGTTGAAGGTGGCCTCGTGAACGCCGTTAGCTTCCATACCCAAGAAGGATGGCTGGAAGAGGGCTTCGGGGGCACGGAAACGCTCGTTACCGATGGTGATGACTTGACCGTCGGGCAACTCGTAGGACTTCTCAACTGTGGAGCTGGTGGCGGAAGTGGCCATCTCCTGCTCGAAGTCCAGGGCGACATAGCACAGCTTTTCCTTGATGTCACGGACAATTTCCCGCTCAGCTGTGGTGACGAAAGAGTATCCCCTCTCGGTGAGGATCTTCATGAGGTAGTCAGTAAGATCCCTGCCGGCCAAGTCCAGACGGAGGATGGCGTGGGGGAGAGCGTAACCTTCATAGATGGGGACTGTGTGGGAAACACCATCTCCAGAGTCAAGAACGATACCGGTGGTCCTACCGGAAGCATAGAGGGAGAGGACGGCCTGGATGGCGACGTACATGGCGGGGGAGTTGAATGTCTCAAACATGATCTGGGTCATCTTTTCCCTGTTGGCTTTGGGGTTGAGGGGAGCTTCAGTAAGGAGGACTGGGTGCTCTTCTGGGGCAACGCGGAGCTCGTTGTAGAAGGTATGATGCCAGATCTTCTCCATGTCATCCCAGTTGGTGACAATGCCGTGCTCAATGGGGTATTTCAGGGAAAGGATACCTCTCTTGCTCTGGGCCTCATCTCCTACATAGCTGTCCTTCTGACCCATACCCACCATGACACCTTGATGCCTGGGGCGGCCGACGATGGAGGGGAAGACAGCCCTTGGGGCGTCATCTCCGGCGAAACCGGCTTTGCACATACCGGATCCATTGTCTACAACGAGAGCGGCAATATCGTCGTCGCACATGGTGGCTGAGAGTTAGAACGTAGGAGAGCTAATCCAAGAGAGTACTCAAACTGCTGGAAGCAAACTCACA